ATGTTTTGTCTTGTTGACGGTGAATCCAAATTGAAAAACTCTAATAGGGCACTATGGTCACAACCTTTTTCTGGATAAGAAACTGTGCATTTAAAGTGAAAATACTTTAAAGCTTTACGTTGAATGGCCTCAAGGATCACGACAGAATTTTGGTATATAGGAAACCAGATCAGAGTCGCATACTCCAACTTGCTCCTGACAAAAGTAAAAAATAAAGTCATTAATGTATCAACATTGGAGAAACCCTTCCAGTTTCTGATACAAAAACCAAGTAGTCGGGTGGCAGCCGACGAGATATTAAGTATATGCTCAGTAAACGTTAGCTTGGTATCAAAAATAACTCCAAGGTCTCTATAAGAGGTGCATGTGTCTATAACCTGATCATTGATGTTATAATTATCATAAATTAAATAGTTAACTTTTTTTGTATAAGTCATAACTTTATATTTCGAAACATTCAGACTGAGACAGTTTCGTGAACACCATGACGAAATTAGAGCTAAGTCATCTTGCAACATGACGCAATCCTCGACTGTCTTGACTGACGTGCAGATTTTAAGGTCATCAGCGAAAAACAAATGGAAACACTTCAGTTCAAAAGACAAGTCATTAATAAATATCAAAAACAATAATGGACCTAGATTTGACCCTTGAGGTACCCCAGACGTGGCCAGATAGTAACTCGACCTATGACCACCATATTCGACAAATAACCTTCTATCCATCAAATATGAATTCATGAGCAACAGCATTGCATCAGACATACCTACACACTGTTTTAAGCTTATCCAGAAGTGCATAATGATCAACTTGATCAAACGCCTTCTGAATATCTGTGTAGATGACATCAACTTGTCCCTGACCGTCCAGTACTTCAGAAATGTACTGAGTAATCAGAGCCAAGTTGGTGACCGTAGATCTGTCTCTCATAAACCCATGCTGATTAATAGAGACTGCAACTCTGACCGAGCAGTAAACCGTTTCATAAGCGATGATCTCAAACAACTTGCTGAAATTGCACAGGATTGCTATTTGGCGATAGTTGGAAATATCAGAGATATCTCCACTTTTGTGAATAGGACATATTTTAGAGGTCTTCCAGATATTTGGATATGTCTCTGATTTTAGAATTAGGTTGAATATGGAAGCCAGCGGTTTCGCTAGTATATGAATGCAATCTTTAACGAAAAAACTTGGAATACCATCACATCCAGACGTCATTTTGTTCTTTAATCTTTTCGAAGCCCTAATTACGTTTTCTTCACTTATACTTTTTAAAGAAATGATATCGGTAGAATTATTTGTTGGATGAGATGACCCTAGTAGACCAGACGGGATAAAAACTGTTGAAAAGAAGGTAGCAAAACTGTCCACTATATCCTGAGGCGTATCGCAGACATTGCCGTTAAGCGTCATCCTTGGGGGGATTCTTTGATCTGGGCAAATGACCAGAATTTGCTAGGATCATTGACAATGGCATCCTCAACCGATTGGACGTAAGCGGAGTAGGCAACACTGATCTGGTTCTTAATCAGCTTCCTAAAATTACTGAACTGATCATAAGACAACTTAGTACCGTCACATTTCCAGTTCCTTCTTGCTATGTCCTTCTTCTTGATATTAAGTATAATTTCACGTATGAACCATGGGGGATACGAAAACATTTTATTTTTACATTTAGGGACATGGACCTCAAAGATGTTATTGATAACTGAATACAAGACGGTACAAGCGACATTAACATTAACTGCACTGATCACCTCCGTCCAATTAACATCTTGCAAGGCTGTGTACTTTTCTGGAAAGTTAGCTTTGCGAAAGTTAAACCGTGGAGAATTAGCAAATGGGAATTTCGTTGGAGATCCGGATGTAATGAATTCCATGATCAGTGCAGGATGATGTATTATCTCTGAGGACTATAAATCTAATGATAATACGGACGTCACTAACTATCGACCTATTTCACTTATATCAAGTTTAGCTAAAGTTTTTGAGAAATTACTCCTTAATAAAATGATTAATTTTCTTAATAAATTCAAAATTCTAAATTCAAATCAATATGGTTTTATAGCGGGCAAATCTACAACAGATGGGGTATTAAGTATAGTAGATGAAATAACCCAAAATATAGATGGAAAAGTACCATCGATATGCGTATTTGTGGACTTACAAAAAGCGTTTGACACAGTTAACCACAATATACTTTTGGAAATCTTGGAAAGAATAGGTTTTCGTGGAAAGATGTATACTTTAATGGAAAATTATTTATCAAATAGACCGCAATCAGTAAAATTATTAAGCTCGTATAGTAAAGAAATGTTTGTTAAATGTGGTGTTCCACAAGGTACAATTTTGGGTCCTCTGTTATTCAATATTTATTTAAACGATATATTCAAAATTAACAGTACCTACTGGTAAAATAGTCAGTTTTGCAGACGATACTGCTATACTCTATAAAGGTAAGGATTGGAACGCCTTAAAAGATATTATCCAAAATGACTTTTGCAAAATTATTCAGTGGTTTAATAACCGAAAATTAACAATTAACTTTACTAAAACTCATTTTTTACCATTTTCATCACTATCTAATCATCTACCAAAATATAACCACCTTCGGTTTAAGGTAAATGATAAAAATATAAAAATCAATAGAGTTAATGATACAAAATATTTAGGAATTTATCTAGATCCCCACTTGAGATGGGTTGTACATATTTCTCACATACTAAAGAAAATTAGATTCATAGCATATAAAATAAAATTTCTCACCGGTATATTAACTGAATATTATCTACGAATAATATATCAAGCTTTAGTCGAGCCACACATAACATATGGTATAGTAGTGTGGGGTGCTGCATGCATGACATACTTTAACGATTTAGATGTACTTCAAAGAAGAATTTTAAAATCAATGATAGACAAATCAAAATTATACCCAACTAATGACTTATATAATGATGCACAAGTATATGATACTAAACAACTTTACTTCTTACATACCATCACTCATTATCACAAAACTATTAGTGAACACGACATAATTAAACATAATCACAAAACCAGATATAAATTACGCGCAAAAAATGTTCCTAAACCAAACAAATCCCTAATGAAACGATGTCACCTGTATATAGCTCCAAAATTGTACGAACATTTACCAAATAATTTAAAACAATTACGCAATACATTAGGCTTCAAAAAAAAAATTAAAAAAATTTATTAACACGATTGGAAGAAATCAAATTAATAAAATAATCTCAAATATTACACAATAAATGCTCTACCATTCTTACCAATAATTTCTTTTTTCTCTCTATTTTATTATATTTTGCAATTCAACATACATATGATCCATGCACAGGCGTTGTCCTCCTATGGATATATTATATTTATTTACTCGTTTCATGTTCCCTGTATTTTAGAGTAAATAAATATTATTATTATTATTATTATTACTTCTATTTCGATATTTCCTAAAATTAAATCCAGTATTCGACCATTTATATTTGGAATATTATTAAAATTAGTTAAATCTAAAAACGAAATAAAGTTGCTCATTAATTGAGACTTCTGATCATTAACGTCACTGTTGAATAATGCGACATTAAAGTCACCAGCAACAATTATTTTACAATTACTGAATGCATTGTTAAATACTTCCAAAGCTTCAAGGTACTGACTAAACATGTCCAAATTAATTGAAGGCGGAATATAAATAGAAAAGATAACAAAATGGTCATGGTTAATAATAAGCCTAATACATACAGTATCAATCGACGGAAAGTTTCGACTCAAAGCACTAGCGTCAATTCTAATTGCATGGAAATCGCGTTTTATGGCTATCAGGACTCCTCCGCCGGAAACTAGACCAGATCGAATAAAGTCACGATCACATCTGAACACACAGTATTCAGTCGGAAATAATTCACTATCACTCACATTCACAGACAGCCACGTCTCAGTCAAGCAAATTAAATCAACTTCGTAGTCCTTGACTCCATTGAAGAATGACACCGTCTTAGAATTGAGACCACGAACGTTCTGGTAGGAGCACCTTAGCCTAAGTCTCTCATGACAATTTGGTCTGTTATTGGGTTCAGTTATGCGTTTAAAGTAACAATCTTCGGAACCCCATTGAAATATTTAATTCTGAGGTTACTTTCACCTTGCGCGATCCTTTCATTCAGTTTGCCCTTTAAGTAGCGATAGAGCTCCATCTGTTTTGGAGTTTTATCAAAAGCAAACGATGTATTTTTATATTTTATCATTGTTTTTTAGGGTATTAGACTTCTTGATTATAGTATGAACCATCTCCTCTGAGTGAAAGATTGCCTTTACTGGCCTGGTCGAGCCTTGCCTAAATTTTCCAATGCGCAGAACCTTAACGCCCACATTAGTAAAATTACCATCGACAGCCCCAAGTAAATCTTTAACAACAGCTCGATCAGAAGCCAGTCTTTCCTTTCCATCAGTACCTGTCGGTTCCGGCAAGCCAAATATCATCAAATTTTTTTTACGCTTTTCTCTTTCATGAACTTCCTGAACAACCTCCTCAAGCACAGAGGAATCAGATGAGTTTGAACTATTGGTAGCCTTAAGCTCACTAATTTTATTCTCCAAAGCAGACATTTTCGTAGCGAAATCGTTCTTAAGGGTCTCCAATAAGCTCTTCAAATCACCTAGTTCGCCCATAAACTTACATGGTGTTTTAACGATATATTTTTTTAGTATACTGATTCTCCGAGTGTTTGGTCTGAAAACTACAAGCGGTGCATTCACCATTTTTGCAAACTATGCAAACTTTATCCGCCTATTCTTCAGACACTAATCATAGGATTGCTTTGGTCCCATGGACGCGGGATGACAATGAATATATCATACCGAATTTTTAGACAAATCGACTGGGACCAATTTTCCATATGTTTTGTGCCTTGGTTTGAAAATTTTGGAAATCCCGGTTTTGGAAATTTTTGTGAACATTTTTGAACATTACTAAGGGGCAAACTGCACCGTCGCAAGTCCCAGATCCGCCAGTTGCTCATGACTGAAGGGCAGATAACAAGACCCCGGCTAGACACCGGTCCACCTCCGCTGCCTACCCAGAAGACCGTCAGCAACAGCAGTTGCATCTCCACCAAGACAGCTCATTATGTCAATGACCTAAAGAAGAAGTATGATGGCAGTCTGTGGTTCGCTGAGAAGCAGATCCTCAAAAAGCCGCACGAGAAAAAGTTGCATAAGGCGAAAAAACATGCTGGGTAGGTAGATAAAAAAAGCATGAGGTTTAGATTTGTAAATCTTGCTAATCGTCATTAACGAGATGACATGGCTAGGCAACATGATAGTTTTTTGTTTTAAAGTCTTTTTTACAATGTCTAGATGTTGTTTTCTGACAGACTAAGGTCCGTATCGTCAGTCGTCCCTACAATTCTAGGGCGCCTTTATGGCCTCCTTGATTGTCATAGTTTTCTACTTCTCCGTGACAGCGCTCTATTTTGAGGTTATGTCACAAACATTAATTTGCATCAAATTGTGCTTGGTTTTGAGTTATATCATGTTTTATCAGCGTGAAATTTCCTACAATTTAAAACGAAAACATATCTTCACAATAGGAGAGCGCTGACGCTGACACGGGACAAGTGTAATCTAGAAATTTTTGAAGGAGAGAAAGGAGCATGACAATCAAGGAGGCCATAAACGCGCCCTACAATTGTAGGGACGACTGACGATACGGGTCTTAGATACTATAATCCTATAATATCAACGTGGGTATTCCCCAGGCCCCAATGCTGCTTCAGTTGCACATTAATAAGGTCGAAATTTGGTTTGTCTTGTAAGACATTAATGTCAGATTCAACAAGCAGGTAAGCAAAGAAAATTGCTAAACCTACGGTTGATCTGCTGGTTTTGGACAATACAAAAAGATCAAACCTTTGTTTTATTTGATCTAGACTAGCATGTTGACTTATCTAGGCACAGTTTGTTTGTTTTGAAGTCAGTTTTGTAACATTTTATTGTCTCTTACAGGCTTCTATCCTATAATCCCATAATGCCATTGCGCGTGTTCCCCAGGGAGCGGACTTCGAAATCACTAGATGATTGGTCAGATACAACAGACAACTAAGCAAAAAAATTCTGGAGAGTCTACGGTTGATCTGACTTGGACGAAGCCGAAACTTTGATTATCACTATTGAATTACCTACCTGTTTTGAATGTTTTTTCAATGTTATGAATGGTTTAGGTTCGCAAGCAGCCAGGCAAGCATAGGAAACTCGGTGATCAACTTTGTCTCGAAGGTCAAGTTGAGTAAAACAGGCCTTCTTCTATCGGACCGATCCAAAACAAGTGTCAAGAGGTGTCACACGGCTGCAAGCAAGCCACGATCAGTCGAAAGAGCAACTGACTTAAAGAAGACCAAGAGTTTGATGTCCAAGAGCTCACTGGACCCAGGTAAGATCTGAGATAAGACAAATATATATATATATATATATATATATATATATATAGGTGAAAAATTAAAGCTTCCGCCTTTTGTTGGGTACTTCGACAAAATTTAAGCAAAGAGGACTCTTTATACCTTTTTTAATTCTCTCTAGCTTTCAATGGACTTTGCCATCATCATCAGGAGAGTAGTATGTGAGGATGTTGCTAATTGTTGTTTACGTATAGGATGAGGGAAACGTCCAGTAACATGGTGAGAGCTGGATAGATTATACAATGGTCAAAATTATTAAAATATGACAAGAACAAGTTAAAAACAGATTAAAAATTATTTAAAAAAAACATTACAGCATTACATCGTGAAGCCACTTGATGATTGCACAAAAAGAATTTGTGCAATCATCAAGTTTGTACAATCTATCCAGCTCTCACCATGTTACTGGACGTTTCCCTCATCCTATACGTAAACAACAATTAGCAACATCGTCACATACTACTCTCCTGATGATGATGGCAAAGTCCATTGAAAGCTAGAGAGAATTAAAAAAGGTATAAAGAGTCCTCTTTGCTTAAATTTTGTCGAAGTACCCAACAAAAGGCGGAAGCTTTAATTTTTCACCTAACTGGTCTAGACGACAATGACCACGTCTCAAGTTATATATATATATATATATATATATATATATATATATATATATATATTTGAGGTTCTAGATAAAGAAAAAAGACTCTCAAAACGTTTATTTTTAGAAATGTCCCACATTTTCATGACAGATCATTGCATGAATAAAAAGGCTGATGTTGAGCAGCTCAGTGTCATTTATTCCTACCTGTTGAATTGCGAAAAGCTAGAACGGCTACATATCCAAATCGAATCAACATCGTCACAAAATTAGAATACATTTTCTCACTCACAATCTTTAATATAAACTCACATAACCCATCTTTTCAAGGTTGTATCACTATCTCAGATTCGTACACTCATATGAACTACACATTTTTCCAAAACAAATTAAGCATTTTAGTAATTTGGGTGGAGGTTTACCGAGCGTCCCGCGTCCCCATTCTGAAAATCACATCATCTGAAGTGATTTTGCAACGTTTGGCACACGCCCACAATTCGTTCCATCTTTCAACACAGACATTGACAACCTTCGGCCTTCTGTCAAAGGGTTCATCTCACTCATTATTCCATGACCACCATTTTGTGCAATCATCAAGTGTCTTCACGATGTAATGCTCTAATGTTTTTAAATAATTTTTAATCTGTTTTTAACTTGTTCTTGTCATATTTTATATAATTTTGACCATTGCACCATCTATCCAGCTCTCACCATGTTACTGGACGTTTCCCTCATCCTATACGTAAACAACAATTAGCAACATCCTCACATACTACTGTAAGTTGAGTCAATTTAAGTTCATTTTACACTTTTGTTGCTACTGTTATCATTGTAATTGCAGCTCCTGATGATGATGGCAAAGTCCATTGAAAGCTAGAGAGAATTAAAAAAGTATAAAGAGTCCTCTTTGCTTAAATTTTGTCGAAGTACCCAACAAAAGGCGGAAGCTTTAATTTTTCACCTAACTGGTCTAGACGACAATGACCACGTCTCAATATATATATATATATATATATATATATATATATATATATATGTATATATCCCCGTCTGGCGTAAGTCGGCGAGATTCTTGCTGAAATTGTTCTTAAACGATAGTGAAGGTAACACATAGTCGACTGGACCGATGAGGTTCGATTAGGACGGAATTACTTTCTTAATAAATGGCCAATCATAGCTATGTTCTTTTTTATTTTTTAAATTTTTTTCCTTTAAACACTGATTGATTTGGAAGAACTTGAAAAACTATCAACTATTGAAAAATCATTCGATATTTATTTTTTTCTTTGATAACCTCCACATTATTCAAAAATTAATATCGAAGGATTTTTCAATAGTTGATCGTTTTTCAAGTTCTTCGAAATCAATCAGCGTTTAAAGGAAATTTAAAAAAAAAAATAAAAAAACATAGGATTTGCCATTTACTAATAAAATAATTCCGTCTTAATCGAACCTCATCAGTCCAGTTTTTTATTCGTCGACTGTGTTTGTTCCCTTCACTGTCGTTTAAGAACAATTTCAGCAACAATCTCACCGACTTACTCTAGACGATGAGGGCATACCTGTAGACCTTCTAAAGCTCGAGTTTAAGTTATAAGAGTGTACTTATACAATACCTTGCCTTCTACCCAAATAAATCCAAGGATATTTTCTCCTAACAGTTAAGGCAATTAACTATGAATACTATATATATATATATATATATATATATATATATATAACTTGAGACGTGGTCATTGTCGTCTAAACCAGTTAGGTGAAAAATTAAAGCTTCCACCTTTTGTTGGGTACTTCGACAAAATTTAAGCAAAGAGGACTCCTTATACTTTTTTTAATTCTCTCTAGCTTTCAATGGACTTTGCCATCATCATCAGGAGAGTAGTATGTGAGGATGTTGCTAATTGTTGTTTTCGTATAGGATGAGGGAAACGTCCAGTAACATGGTGAGAGCTGGATACATGGTACAATGGTTAAAATTATATAAAATATGACAAGACAAGTTAAAGACAGATTAAAAATTATTTAGAAAACATCCTATACGAAAACAACAATTAGCAACATCCTCACATACTACTCTCCTGATGATGATGGCAAAGTCCATTGAAAGCTAGAGAGAATTAAAAAAAGTATAAAGAGTCCTCTTTGCTTGAAATTTTTGTCGAAGTACCCAACAAAAGGCGGAAGCTTTAATTTTTCACCTATATATATATATATAGAGAGAGAGAGAGAGGGGCGGAGAGAGAGGAGGGGAGAGAGAGGGGGAGAGAGAGAGAAAATAATCATGCGGAGAAAGGTATATAACAAAAAATAGGAAAACAATAAGCAAAATCCGAAAAAAAGAAGGAAAGTGGATTCGAGCAGAAAATAGGATAGGTAACCCGAGCGATACGTATTTCTGCTGGTTGGCTTCATCAGTCCCGAAATGAATGCACATATGCAAATAAAAGAGTAGATACGCATGCCCATACATTTTTTCCTTCTCCATCTTCGTTTCCTCAGGTTACACCTGTAACCGGATGTATGGGCATGTGTAACTACTTTTGTAGTTGCATATGTGCATTCATTTCGGGCCTGATGAAGCCAACCAGCAGAAATAGGTATCGGTCGGGTTACCTTTCCTTCTTTTTGCGGCTTTTGCCCATTATTTTCCTATTTTTTATTATATATATATATATATATACAGGGTGACTTTGAAGTTGAGTCATTAATTTTCAGATAATGATTGTAGAAGGAAGATAAACCAGAATATGTGTGTAAAAATAAAAAAAATTAAAAAAAAATTTTTACCTTGTTTTATAAAGTATCCTCCCAACAAGTATTTCAGTGCGGACCTGTATTTGATCGTGAGGTCCCCTGTGAGGTCTTAAGTCACCTGATTCACGAGCCCGTTGTACTACATTAACAAAGGCACGAGGGGTTGGTTGCACTCGATTGGGAAACCGATCCGCATAAACATGTGCCATTTTTTATTTCGTTTGAGCCACGCAACAGACACTATTCACACGCTAACCGACAGACACTGACTGTATGTATAACTGAACTGAATAAAATACTTAATTGCAAAAACATCGTTCCAAATTCTTTCGCTTTTTTGTTTCCGATGCGATGAACCGGTAAGGCGGATTATATCCGTTGTTGCCAAACACGAGTACATGATATTATTATTGAGACAGGGCGGTACTCAAACTTCCAAAGGGCTATAACTTTGTTACTTTAATTTTACCAGAAAAATGGTAAAGGAAAAAAACATTTTGATCAGATCTACTCACTGTTAAAATAAATGACTCAACTTCGAAGTCACCCTGTATATATATATATATATACGTGTGTGTGTGTGTAATTGTTGTTCCAATTCGACTTGTGCTGAAACCACAGCATGCACAACACTAGACAGACTACTAGAAGCTTGTGTATCTTTCTGTAAATTACGCTGAATTTTTTTTTATTAAATATACCTACATTTCAAATAGCTCATTCTTTTCGGCAGCCGACGTGAAAGTGAACCTCAAATCAGTGGGAGACGTGTAAAGGTCGATTTATAACCTCTAACGTCCTACACCATTGCCGTAGCAGAACTTGAATCATGCGCTTGATGTTAAACTGTTTATAAACAGAAATTCTGCAACGCTGACGCTAGACTTGATGAAATTTTAATTTTCTGTCGTTGCCGTTCCCTACTCAACCTATTAAAGCGGGTTTGACCTTCAAATAAGCTGAAGGTCATCATCAACGTCATATTCAAGGTCACCATTAGAAGAATCTTTTCCAAAATTAAAACTTCATTACACAACATTTTTCTGTATAAAACATATTTTTCGAGATATTTAGGGGTTTGAAGGTCATAGTCAAGGTCGTGTTTAAGATCACTAATAGATGGATCTTTTTAAACCTTAAAACTTTGTTCTATAATATTTTTCTCTAGGGAACGCATTTTTCGATATATTTCGATCTATCTATACTGTTTGGTTACCATGTATCTTTTCGCGGATAAAACTATGCCTATAACCATTCTCGGGATTCAACTAGTGAGTGTACACATGTTTACGTTTCCATACTGTGGTTCAGACGAGCTGCTGACAGACTGAGCACACATTCACATTTATTAGATGGTGGAAGGACATGAGTTCGAATCTACTGGCGAATTTTTTTTTGTTGCTTATAACTCATTCCATTGACTTCAGGGATTGCAAGTAAGCATCAGGTACGCGTGATAAACGATGCTCCCGCTTCTCCAAGTACCAAGTACAAAATGCAGTGCATGAAAGCTCGAACTATGCTATCTCCAAACAGGCATCTTGGACATGTGGACATCTTGGACGACTTGACTGAAAAGTAAGTATAGCGATTTTGATTTGTACACTACAATTTTATACAATGTCCCTTAGATATGTTTCGGTAATAATTGCGATGAGGGTAGTTTTGGAAGATTTTCGACCAGTAGCTATTTGGCTAATGCATACGAATCGTAAATGAATCGAAGAAACCGATTCCTAGGCCGAAATGGGAATCCTGAACGATTCGAGGAAATTGACTCCGATGCCGGAATGGGCATCGTGAACAATGCGAAGGAATCGGAATCGTAAACAAATAAAAGGAATCGATTCCACGGCTGGAATGGGAATCGTGAACGAATTGAAGGAATAGATTCCACGGTCGGAATTGGATTCGTTAATGAATCGAAGAAATCGATTCCGAAGCCGAAATTGAAATCGAGAACGAATCTAAGGAATCGGATCGTTAACAATTAGAGGGAATTGATTCCGAAGCCGAAGGAATCGATTTCTGGGCCGGAGTGGAAATCGTGAACAAATTGAGGGAATTGGTTCCTCAGCCGGAAGCGGAAACGTGAACGAAGCAAAGGATTCGATTCCACGGTCAGGATGGGAATCGTTAATGATGCGAGGGAATCGATTCCGATGCCGGAATGGGAATCGTGGAAAAATAAAAGGAACGATTTCACGACCAGAACGGGAATCGTGAATGAATTGAAGGAATCGATTCCACGCCCGGAATCGGATTTGTGAATGGATCGAAGGAACCGATTCACATGCCAAAAAAAGGAGGAGTGAACGATTCGAAGAATGTAAGGAATCGAGTCCAAGGCCGGAATAGTGGACAAATCCGCAGGAATCGATTCCGAGACCGGAATCGGATCGTAAATGAATGGAAGGAATTCATTCCGAAGCCTGAATTGGAATCCTGAACAGATCGAAGGAATCAATTAAGAATCCAGCATCGGAATCGTGAACGAATCGAATGAATTTATTCAGAATCCGGAATCGTGAATCGATTTCGAAGCCGAAATCGGAGTCGTAAACGAATCAAAGGAATTGATTCCGGGGCCGGAATGGAAATCATAAACGGATGGAAGGAATTTAATCCGAGACTGGAGACGGAATCATTAAGGAATCGATTCCGAAGCCGAAATCAAAAACGTAAACGAATGGAAGGAATCGATTCAGAACTCGAAATCGCAGTCGTAAATGAAAGGAAGGAATCTATTTCGAGGCGGAATCGGAATCGTGAAGGAAATGAAAATAGATTCCGAGATCGGAATCGAAATCGTAAATGAGTGGAAGGAATCTATTCCAGGACCGGAGTCGGAATCGTGATGGAATCATTTGCGAACTCGGAGTTGGGGTCGTAAATGAGAGGAATAAATCTATTCCGAGGAGAAATCGGAATCATGAAGGAAATAAAGGAATCGATTCCGAGATCGCAATCGAAATCGTAAACGAATGGAAGGAATCGGATTCGTGAATGAATCAAAGAAATCTATTCCGAAGCCGGAATTGGAATCAAGAACCTAAGGAATCGTTTCCGGGACCGGAATCGGATCGTTAACGATTAGAAGGAATTGATTCCGAAGCCGGAATCGGAATCGTGAACGATTCGAATCAATCGATTTCTAGGCCGGAGTGGAAATCGTGAACAAATTGAGGGAATTGGTTCCACAGCCGGAAGCGGAAACGTGAACGAAGCAAATGATTCGATTCCACGGTCAGGATGGGAATCGTTAACGATGTGAGGAAATCGATTCCTATGCCGGAATGGGAATCGTGAAAAAATAAAAGGAACGATTTCACGACCAGAATGAGAATCGTGAACGAATTGAAGGAATCGATTCCACGCCCGGAATCGGATTTGTGAATGGATCGAAGAAACCGATTCGCATGCCAAAAAAGGAGGAGTGAACGATTCGAAGAATCTAAGGAATCGAGTCCCAGGCCGGAATCGTGGACAAATCCGCGGGAATCGATTCCGAGACCGGAATCGGATCGTAAACGAATGGAAGGAATTCATTCCGAAGCCTGAATTGGAATCCTGAACAGATCGAAGGAATCAATTAAGAAGCCACCATCGGAATCGTGAACGAATCGAAGGAATGTATTCAGAATCCGGAATCGTGAATCGATTTCGAAGCCGAAATCGAAGACGTAAACGAATCAAAGGAATTGATTCCGGGGCCGGAATGGAAATCATAAACGGATGGAAGGAATTTAATCCGAGACTGGAGACGGAATCATTAAGGAATCGATTCCGAAGCCGAAATCAAAAACGTAAACGAATGGAAGGAATCGATTCAGAACTCGAAATCGCAGTCGTAAATGAAAGGAAGGAATCTATTTCGAGGCGGAATCGGAATCGTGAAAGAAATGAAAATAGATTCCGAGATCGGAATCGAAATCGTAAATGAGTGGAAGGAATCTATTCCAGGACCGGAGTCGGAATCGTGAAGGAATCATTTGCAAACTCGGAGTCGGGGTCGTAAATGAGAGGAAGGAATCTATTCCGAGGCGAAATCGGAGTCGTGAAGGAAATGAAGGAATCGATTCCGAGTTGGGAATCGAAATCGTAAACGAATGGAAGGAATCGGATTCGTGAATGAATCAAAGAAATCTATTCCGAAGCCGGAATTGGAATCGAGAACCTAACGAATCCTTTCCGGGACCGGAATCGGATCGTTAACGATTGGAAGGAATTTATCCCGGAGTCGGAATCGGAATCGTTAACGATGCGAGGGAATCGATTCCGATGCCGGAATGGGAATCGTGGAAAAATAAAAGGAGCGATTTCACGACCAGAACGGGAATCGTGAACGAATTGAAGGAATCGATTCCACGCCCGGAATTGGATTTGTGAATGGAGTGAACGATTCGAAGAATGTAAGGAATCGAGTCCAAGGCCGGAATCGTGGACAAATCCGCAGGAATCGATTCCGAGACCGGAATCGGATCGTAAACGAATGGAAGGAATTCATTCCGAAGCCTGAATTGGAATCCTAAACAGATTGAAAGAATCAATTAAGAAGCCAGCATCGGAATCCTGAACGAATCGAAGGAATGTATTCAGAATCCGGAATCGTGAATCGATTTCGAAGCCTATATCGGAATCTTGAATGAATGGAAGGAATCGAACCCAAGGCCGAAATCAAAATCGTAAACGAATGGAAGGAATCGATTCCGAACTCGAAATCGGAGTCGTAAATGAGAGGAAGGAATCTATTCTGAGGCGAAATCGGAATCATGAAGGAAATGAAGTAATCAATTCCGAGATCGGAATCGAAATCGTAAATGAGTGAAAAGAATCGACTCCGAACTCGAAATCGGAATCGTAAATGTGCGGAAGGAATTTATTCCGAGGCCGGAGTCGGAATCGTGAGGGAATCGATTCCGAAGCCGGAATCTGATTCGTGAACGAAATGAAGGAATCGATTCGCAGGCCGGCCTCGAAATTGTATACGAACGGAAGGAATTGAACCCAAGGCCGAAATCGAAATCGTAAGCGAATGGAAGGAATCGATTCCGAACTCGAAGTCGCAGTCGTAAATGAAAGGAAGGAATCTATTTCGAGGCGGAATCGGAATCGTAAATGAGTGGAAGAAATCTATTCCAGGACCGGAGTCGGAATCGTGAAGGAATCATTTGCGAACTCGGAGTCGGGGTCGTAAATGAGAGGAATGAATCTATTCCGAGGCGAAATCGGAATCGTGAAGGAAATGAAGGAATCGATTCCGAGATTGGAATCGAAATCGTAAACGAATGGAATGAATCGGATTCGTGAATGAATCCAAGAAAACTATTCCGAAGCCGGAATTGGAATCGAGAACCTAAGGAATCGTTTCCGGGACCGGAATCGGATCGTTAACGATTGGAAGGAATTGATTCCGGAGTCGGAATCGGAATCGTGAACGATTCGAGGGGATCGATTTCTGGGCCGGAGTGGAAATCGTGAACAAATTGAGGGAATTGGTTCCACAACCGGAAGCGGAAACGTGAACGAAGCAAAGGATTCGATTTCACGGTCAGGATGGGAACCGTTAACGATGCGAGGAAATCGATTCTGATGCCGGAATGGGAATCGTGAAAAAATAAAAGGAACGATTTCACGGCCAGAATGAGAATCGTGAACGAATTGAAGGAATCGATTCCACGCCCGGAATCGGATTTGTGAATGGATCGAAGGAACCGATTCACATGCCAAAAAAAGGAGGAGTGAACGATTCGAAGAATCTAAGGAATCGAGTCCAAGCCCGGAATCGTGGACAAATCCGCAGGAATCGATTCCGAGACCGGAATCGGATCGTAAACGAATGGAAGGAATTCATTCCGAAGCCTGAATTGAAATCCTAAACAGATCGAAAGAATCAATTAAGAAGCCAGCATCGGAATCGTGAACGAATCGAAGGAATGTATTCAGAATCTGGAATTGTGAACCGATTTCGAAGCCGAAAGGAATCGATTCCGAACTCGAAATCGGAATCGTAAATGTGCGGAAGGAATTTATTCCGAGGCCGGAGTCGGAATCGTGAGGAAATCGATTCCGAAGCCGGAATCAGATTCGTGAACGAAATGAAGGAATCGATTCGCAGACCGGCCTCGAAATTGTAAACGAACAGAAGGAATTGAACCCAAGGCCGAAATCGTAAGCGAATGGAAGGAATCGATTCCGAACTCGAAGTCGCAGTCGTAAATGAAAGGAAGAAATCTATTTCGAGGCGGAATCGGAATCGTGAAGGAAATGAAAATAGATTCCGAGATCGGAATCGAAATCGTAAATGAGTGGAAGGAATCTATTCCAGGACCGGAGTGGGAATCGTGAAGGAATCATTTGAGAACTCGGAGTCGGGGTCGTAAATGAGAGGAAGGAATCTATTCCGAGGCGAAATCGGAATCGTGAAGGAAATAAAGGAATCGATTCCGAGATCGGAGTCGCAGTCGTAAATGAAAGGAAGGAATCTATTTCGAGGCGGAATCGGAATCGTGAAGGAAATGAAAATAGATTCCGAGATCGGAATCGAAATCGTAAATGAGTGGAAGGAATCTATTCCA